TTCCATGAAGAGAGGGAAAAGGCACATAATTCTGATCAAGGCTTCTCTTTGCTTGGCTGGGTTCCAGGTAGTGTCAGAGCCCGGGAAGTATTCACTTGTGGAAATTATAGAGGGAGCCCGGCCGGGCATGGCTCAGCGGTTGAGAGTCCACCCAGGATCCAGGCGATCGGGGTTCGATTCCCGGTCAGGGCACATGCCCAGGTTGCAGGCTAGGCAGCCGATCAATGACTCTCTCATCATTGATGTTTCTATCTCTCTCCCTCTCCTCTCCTCCCTCTGAAATCAATAAAGATATATTTTTTAAAAAAATTATAGAGGGTGGTTCCTTTTTGGCCAATATGGCATATCCCTGGCTTCTAACTGGTTTTCTATTGAGCTTTGGTTAGTCTTCATGGTATCAAAATTAAGTGAAATTTTCAAGATACCAAAGGCTTTAATAAACTTTAAAATAGCCAGCTATTTATTTTCAAAACATAATTCTAGATAGCATACACTTGTCTATTTCCTCTCTGAAAGCATCTATTCATAAACAAACATTTTCTTGACATTCACAATCTTGTTTTTAAACTGAAAAGCAAAGAGATGAAAATGAATTTTAAACTTTTATGTAGACTGTTAAAAGACTGAACTATATTCAAACATCACTCATGAAAACTAGTGAAGTCTTGCTTTTTGGCTTCCTTGCAAATGAAGCCATATATTTTTAAAGCCAAATATTTTAAGCCAAATATTTTTAAAAATATGAAAATGATTTTACACATTCCACTATTTTGTTCTGGGAGTCTTCTGCTTCTTAGAGTAATTGTTATAAGTTTTAAAGCTGAAAATCTAGTCATAATTCAGAGTAACTTTTATGTTTAATACCCATAATCTTAGCCAATTGTTAGGCTGATGGTGGACTTTTAAAGTCATTTTCCTTCTGTTCTCTTGGTATTTCACACTGTTGATGAAAAGTGGTATCAGTCTAGTTCTCATTCTTTAGTTGTAAAGCTCCTTACTCTCTTTAGATTTTTTTCTTTATTCTTGATGTTCTGAGACTTTCTAGGTCCTAACTTGAGATTTTACCCAATATACTGATTTTTTGTTTGAGTAACTGTAGTTTTCTTCAAAATTTCCATTTGGCAGGTTCTCACAATAATTTGCTTTTTTCCACAATTACTATTTCTTTTTTATTTCAGGAAATGAAATATCTTTTAAGTTCTTTCTGTATTGTTCTGAATCTCTATTTTTATGTGTACATTCTTTTATCTGTTGAGTCCATTTTTCAGCTGTTAGTTTTCCTCATATGCTTGGTGATATTTTGTTGAAAATTCATCTCCTATTGGAGGTTTCCCTCATACCTGGTTTTGGTAGTATTGTGGAAAGGAAGAAAAGCCCCAGGCTCTGCAAATCCAAGGCTTAATTGAGGAGCTTGGCTCAACTTTGCCACACACACAGGTAGAAGTTCTGGATGAACACCTAACAATGAGTTTGAGCTGGGCCTCAGTCTCCCATGGGTGGCACCACTCTGCATTTGCTCTATGAGGCAAAAATCACAGGGACCGTCATCCTCTACTTGGTTGTTATATGTCTGTGAAGGCTGTGGGCATATGAGCTAATGGAGACATTTTTTTACTTTTCAATCTTCAGAGTAAACAAGTTGATTTTGAGGAAAATGGAGTTGTAACTGAAGTGATACATGTGGATTACCTACAGGAAAAAAATCATTGTCTTGATTAATATGCATGATAGTACTGCACATGGTAGTCCTGGATAACACACAACTTGCTGGATGACAGAAAAAAAAAAAAAAAGCCCTCTGCAAAGCAACACTATTTTGTGCACTGAGTTGGTGCCAAGTAGAACAATGTGGCAACCTGGATGGTGACTTGAGTTAGAACTCGTGAATATTTTATCAATGATTCAAGGTCTTGGAGAGACTACTTGATGTTTAGTGTAGGGGCTCACAACCTGGAAGCATATCTAGGCTCCTATGTGACAGGCACAGCTATACACAAGCTGGTCCTATTATTAAGGACAACTAGAAGCCACCTCTATTTGGTATGGTCATTCTACACCTGGTCTAAGACCCATCCCAGCCCTACCTGCCATTCTTTGAACCACCCACAGAAGTCTAAAGCTGGCAGGTTCTCCATCCTCCTGTTTACTGATTTGACTCAGCTGTTCAATGATGCTTAGATGTGGAGGGTGAACAGGGAACCTTCAATGGACTGCTGCTTACAGGCCATTTTCTAACCATTTTGGGGATATCAACATCATTGGGACTTAGTTCCAGATCTATTCTTGTGAGAGGTTTCTGGCTGGAATATAAGAGACAAAAGAGTTCAGATGTCTGAAGCCATTGTCTCTAACTTATATGGGCTATGCACAAGGGAAGACTTTCATGAGAAACTCAACTTATAGAACAGTTTGCAGTTTATCAAAAATTTAAATTGTATTCTCTAAATACTGTCATTTTGAGTTGTGTGGGGTTTTTTTCTTAAATTTCTTTATCTCCAGGGAAATGGATTTCTTTACCCCGAATGTCTCATCCTATTCAGAAGATTTAATCAGCAATCAAAAAACTTTCCACACATAAAAGCCCAGGACTAGATGGCTTCCCTGGTGAATTCTGTCAGATGTTTAAAGAATTTACACCAATCCTTCACAAACTTGTTTTTGTGTGTGTTTTTAAAAAATATATCTTTATTGATTTCAAGAGAGAGGAAGGCAGAGGGAGAGAGATAGAAACATCAATGATGAGAGTCATTGATTGGCTGCTTCCTGCACGCCCCCTACTGGGGATAGAGCCCACAACCCGGGCAAGTGCCCTGATAGGGAATTGAACCCCTATCGCCTGGATCCTAGGTCAACACTCAACCGCTGAGCCATGCCCGGCCGCGCTCAAACTTCTTTTTTTTTTAAAAAAAGAGGAGCAGAGACCAGTTCCCAATTCATTTAATGAAGCCAGTATTACCCTGATGCCTAAACCAGACAAAGATAACACAAGAAAAGAAAACTAAATACCAATATCCTTTATGAATATAAATGCAAAAATCCTCAGCAAAATATTAGCTAACTGACTCCAGCAACATATGAAAAGGATTATACCCCATGACCAAGTGGGGTTTGTCCCAGAAAAGCAAGGTTGGTTTAATATATGAAAGTCAATCAATGAAACTCACCATATTAACAGAAAAGTACAAAACCATACAAACTGTCTCAATAAATGGAGACTATATATATATATTTTAACAAAATTCATGTTTAAAAAACCCCTCAACAAATAGGAATCATAGCATATGTACTCAACCTGATATAGGGCAACTATAAAAACCCACAGCTAACTTCATATTCAATGGTGAAAGACTGAAAACTTTCCCCCCTGAGATCAGGAACAAACCAAGGATGTTTCTTCTCACTGCTTCCATTTAACATTGCATTAGAAGTTCTAGCCAGTGCAATTAGGCAAGAAAAAGAAATAAAATAATTTAGGTTGGAAATGAAGAAGTAAAAGTATGTTTGCAGATGACACAATTATACATAAAGAAAATTCAAAGGAATCCACAAAAAAACTTACTAAACTTGATAAATGAGTTCAGCACAAAAATCAATTAATATTTAACAAAGTAAGTGTAAGACTTGTACACTAAACACTACATTTTGCAAGAAATGGTAGTATTACAGAACACTACATTTTGTAAGAAATGTAGTGTTTGGTGTACACATCAATTTTGAATTTATTTTAATGTACACATCATTGAAAGAAATTAAAGAAGACCTAAGTAAATGAAAAGTGTTCACAGACTGGAAGGCTTAATATTGTTAAAATGGTGATACCCTCCAAATTGGTCAACAAATTCAACACAATCTCTATCAACATCCTAGCTGGGGTTTTTTTTGTTTTTGTTTTTTTAACAAAAATTGGCAAATTGACCCTGAAATTCATATGGAAATGCAAAGGACTCAGAATAGCCAAAACAATCTTGAAAAAGAACAAACTTGGAGGACTCATACTTCCTGATTTTAAAGATGTATGATAGGTAAGACATGAGATATTTGAATAGTTTGTCACATTGAAAATAGAAATACTATCTTTTTATTTAGTATGTACTATAGAGAATTACTAGAAATTGTCTTAGATTTCATCACAATTTCTTAAGCCACTCTTCTTGATTTTATACCCTACTATCATTTCAAAAGATCTATACAAAGATATTTTTTCTCCAATATTTAAGATGACAGGGAGTCACTCTTAAAATTTTTTAACCTAATTAATGACATCAACAAGATACTATCAGTTTTCCTTCCAATTTCTAAGTTTTGTAAGCACCTCTCTTTGCTGGTCCATATCTCTAAAGGGAAACAAGACATTTGAAAGATTCTTATATTAATTGAAAACTTGAATACAAATATATTTCACCTATGATATCTATGTACCCATGGCCAGGCTCAAGTTTGGATTTAAATGATTTAAAAAGTTGTTCAACTCTCCATTTCCACTTAGGTAGATAAAAGAATGGATCCTGGAGCCACACTGTAACAGTTTAAATCCTAGCTCTGCCACTGCAGATGATGTGTGACTATGAGCAGGTTATATATGAGTTTTTTGTGTGTGTTGTTATTGTTTTTTTCCTTAATCTCTTAACAATTTTCACCCAGCCCCTAACCCCCTCCCCTCTGATAGCTGTCAGCCTGTGCTCTGTATCTATGAGTCTGTTTCTATTTTATTTGAGCAGATGATTTAAACTCCCTGTGCCTCAATTTCTTCATCTATAAAAGATGGCTAATAAGATGCCCACCTTATAGGGCTTTGAGGGGATAAAATGAATTAATATATGTAAAATGCTTAGAATAATATCTGGAATATAATGGCACATATTTGTTCTGATCTCTTTAACCTGAATCTAACTAGAACTTGGTTACTATATTATGGACAATTTGCTCTTTGATTTTCCCAGATTTGTTTTTCATTTATATTAAAAATAATATTTTTTTCAGAATATGTTTTTATTTCACTTAATGTTAATATATATTGTATATCCTCTGATTTGTCTTAAATATGAAATACTTTAAAGTATATTAATATTACTGCCACTGCTATATCTCTTACAAGAAGTAATTACTAGAACTAGAATCAAAGTAAATTTAATTGAATAGTGCTTAGCATGTATTATACCCTCATGTCTCAGAATTTTCTATTCAGTTTTAGACATGTTCATGACTGAATGTATGATCTGACCATAATCTTCTTGTATAGGTAGAAACATAATCATTAGAGTGTATTATTTATTCAACTGATATTTATTGAATGACTATTATAACCCAGACTTCTTTCAAAAATAATTTTTCCTAATAATTTCTATTAGAGTGTAAGATTATTGATAGGCTTTAAAATAATTTATTCAACATGAATTATAATTTATTAAGTGAATTAATTAATTAAATTATAATATATTTAAGGAGGGGGAATTCCATATGTGCTAAGATAAGTGGTACTCCATTCTGTATACTAATTGTAACCAATAAACTGGTGAAGTCTCAGTTAACTTACTGTCTCCATAAAAAGCTCGCATACTCCTTTGATTCCAGCACTTACTGTGTTGGAATCTGTTTTATAAACAAGTCTGTTCTCTTCACCATATGTGAGTAGACAAGGCCTGAAGCACTGCTGCTCACAGATTAAAATATTTTAAATCTGGGCCTCTTGTTTCCCCCCGAATCACCTAGTCAAGGTCAATCTGGGACACAAAGGATGAATATGGCAAGATGCAAACTCATTATGAAATATAGGTTACCTCTTAGCTAAATAAGCTTAAACTTAAAGCCTTTCCCTTAACAAAATTCTATGATTTTTACTCACTTGATTTTGTCTTGATATTATCCTGATAATAGCAAAGAAGAATAATCCAGTCCTATCACCCTCCAAGCTTGTTGCTTATCTGTAAAACCTCCTTTCATTTCCTCTCCAGTTCTAAGAATTTAATTCTAATACTACTTGACTTCGTTCTAAATTTAATGTGACTTCAAACTGTAAAAGAACTTACAACAAAACAAGATGCCTCTTCTTTCAACTGTATTACTATTTGCACACCAGCGCAGAAGGATAGAACCTTTCCTTTGAAAAACAGTCTCCTGAGACATGTGGTACAGGACACCCTAACAGTTTTGGATCTTCAGAAATTCCTCACATACTTGGAAACAAATAGATATAATTCCTATAAACCGTAATTTTATAAGAGCTTATCTCCCCTAGTTAGATTATGCAAAAGGGAAATGGAGTTCTTTGAAGTCCCATGGATTAGGCTGTGGGGAGACGGAGATACATTCTTGCTTTGTGCTCACAATTATTTTAGCTCATGCAATGTAATAGAATAAACTGATAAATCATGCAATTTAATGGCATAACAACTTTGTAAAATTTCCATAACTTCAAAAATGGATTACTTTTGGACACTTCCAAAATATACTTTGACTTGAGAATATTTTCTCAATCAAGACGCAGGGTGGCGCTGCAGGCTAAGATTGTGAGTAAGCCCTAAAAAGCTCGCGTACTCCTTTGTTCCAAGACAGAATCAGAATCACACGGAAGAAGCTTTCCCAGCGGTACTGGGTTACCAACGAGCTCGGGGAGAGATATACTGAACAAATTTGTGAGGATTCCACCAAGCAAGAAATCAGAATTGAAGATCGTGAGTCTTTCTTGATTGCTGAAGGGACTGGATGTAAGCACCCGGGCTCCAACATGGAGACGCCAGAGAGAATTCAACCAGACAGGCAAGTGAGGGCCTTTATTTTAATGGTGTTCTTGTCTCAGGCTCGCCCCGAGCCTATTCGTTATTCTGTGCTGGAAGAAACAGAGAGCGGCTCCTTTGTGGCCCATCTGAGCAAGGACCTGGGCCTGGGAATTGGGGAACTGGCCGCCCGGTCGGCCCGGGTGGTGTCTGACGATGACAAGCAGCGCCTGCTGCTGGATCGTCAGACTGGAGATTTGCTTTTGAAGGAGAAACTAGACCGGGAAGAGCTGTGTGGCCCTATTGAACCGTGTGTATTGCATTTCCAATTGTTGCTGGAAATGCCAGTCCAATTTTTTGAAGGAGAATTATCAGTCCAGGACGTAAATGACAACTCCCCAGTATTCCCGACTGGGGAGATGCTCTTGAAAATACTGGAAAACAGCCACCCAGGGACTATTTTTCCGTTGAAATTAGCTCAGGATTTGGATGTGGGCAGCAATGGTCTTCAAAAATACACTCTCAGCCCTGATTCACATTTTCACGTTCTTACTCGAAATCATAGTGACGGTAAGAAATACCCAGATTTGGTGCAGGACAAAGCGCTGGATCGAGAGGAGCAGCCTGAGTTCAGCTTGAGCCTCACGGCGCTGGATGGCGGGTCTCCCCCGAGGTCTGGCACCCTCGCCGTGAGAGTCCTGATCATGGACGTCAATGACAATGCTCCTGAGTTTGTGCACACCCCATATGAGGTGCAGGTCCTGGAAGACAGTCCCTTAGACTCCCCAATCTTTACTGTCTTAGCTAGGGATATAGATGCTGGAAACTTCGGGAGAGTTTCCTATGGCTTGTTCCAAGCATCAGACGAAATTAAGGAAACGTTCACAATAAATGAAGTCACAGGAGAAATCCGATTGAAAAAGAAATTGGATTTTGAACAAATTAAATCTTACCATGTGGAAATTGAGGCTACAGATGGTGGAGGCCTTTCTGGAAAAGGCACTGTAGTCATACAGGTGGTAGATGTGAACGACAACGCCCCTGAACTGACCCTATCTTCACTCACCAGCTCCATCCCAGAAAATGCTCCCGAGACCGTGGTCTCCATCTTCCGAATTCGAGACAGAGACTCTGGGGACAATGGAAGGATGGTTTGCTCTGTTCCAGATGATCTACCATTCATTCTAAAACCTACTTTCAAGAATTTCTACACCCTGGTAACAGAGAGCCCACTGGACAGAGAGATGAGAGCCGAGTACAACGTCACCATCACCGTCACCGACATGGGGACCCCCAGGCTGACAACCCAGCACCACATAACCGTGCTGGTCTCCGACGTCAACGACAACGCCCCCGCCTTCACCCAAACCTCCTACACCCTCTTCGTCCCCGAGAACAACAGCCCCGCCCTGCACATCGGCAGCGTCAGCGCCACCGACGCCGACGCGGGCGCCAACGCCCAGCTCACCTACTCGCTGCTGCCGCCCCCGGACCCCGGCCTGCCGCTGGCCTCGCTGGTGTCGGTCAACGCCGACAACGGCCACCTGTTCGCCCTGCGGGCGCTGGACTACGAGGCCCTGCAGGCCTTCGAGTTCCGCGTGCGCGCCACCGACCGCGGGGCGCCGGCGCTGAGCGGCCAGGCGCTGGTGCGCGTGCGCGTGCTGGACGCCAACGACAACGCGCCCTTCGTGCTGTACCCGCCGCAGAACGGCTCTGCGCCCTGCACCGAGCTGGTGCCCAGGGCGGCCGAGCCCGGCTACCTGGTGGGCAAGGTGGTGGCGGTGGACGGCGACTCGGGCCAGAACGCCTGGCTGTCCTACCAGCTGCTCAGGGCCACGGAGCCCGGGCTGTTCGGCGTGTGGGCGCACAACGGCGAGGTGCGCACGGCGCGGCCGCTGAGCGAGCGCGACGCGCCCCGCCACCGGCTGCTGGTGCTGGTCAAGGACAACGGCGAGCCGCCGCTGTCGGCCAGCGTCACGCTGCACGTGCTGCTGGTGGACGGCTTCTCGCAGCCCTACCTGCCCGCGCGCGACGCGGCGGCCGACGCGGCCCCGGCCGACCCGCTCACCGTCTACCTGGTGGTCGCGCTGGCGGCGGTGTCGTCGCTCTTCCTGTTCTCGCTGCTGGCGCTCGTGGCGGTGCGGCTGTGCCGGCGGAGCGGGGCCGCCTGGGCGGGGGGCTGCGCGGCGCCCGAGGGCCGCTTTCCGGGCCCCCTGGTGGACGTCAGCGGCGCGGGGACCCTGTCCCAGAGCTACCAGTACGAGGTGTGTCTGACGGGAGACCCTGGGACTGGTGAGTTCAAATTCCTGAAGCCAATATTCCCTAACCTCTTGGTTCAGGATACTGAGAAAGAAATGAAAGAAAATGCCAATTGCAGGAATAGCTTTGTATTTAGTTAAGTATTGATTAACTGAACTTCTCCTTAATTTTGGCAAACCTAACTGCCATTGCAATGCATTTCTTTAAGAAGTTGTATTGTTCTATAAGTATGTATTCCAAACCAATGCATGCCCCTGATCATGCGAAGTTTCTTCCTTTTGTGAATATTTATTGGATTTTGCCTTTCTAGTTACACTAAACATTGAGTATGTATTTTCTTTCTATTTGACATTCTTTCAGAGACTAATCTTTCCATAACTATAAATTACTCAAGTAATGTAAGAAGTTTCGTTTAAGTCAACTTCTTAATTAATGTATTTTTAATGAAACATTTTAAAGCTTTTATGTAATCTTGCATTTCTATATATTTGCGGTCGTTGTCTTTACCATATACCTTTATCTTTGTGAGACCGGAGTGTTTTAAATTTTTTATAGCTATTTAGGCCTTTCTTGTTGACTGCTCTACCAGGCTATGTCCCCTGAATTACTATGAGCATACAACTTTGCATACTTGCTTCTCCCAAACTGTACATAAACATGCACTTCATTAAAATATTAACCCTTTGTGGTCATTTGTCTACTCTCAGCCACCAAAGCTTTTTTACTCTTCCGGTCGTATGTCTGCTCTCAGCCACCACAGCAAGGAACCGTACGAATCTTAACTCTATTCATTCATGTATCAGTTCATAAATCTTGTTTATCCTTCATAATCTTGCATGTTATGTTTCACTGCTCTTTCAATGGAAATTAATTCCGACCAGTACGACACCCATGTCCAAATTTAATACGACCCCAAAGGGTTAACACACTAAAATTGTGACCTCCCATTGTGAACACCATGTATGTTAGAGATTTTCTTATTTATTTGATTGCTACTTGTCTTGCAAATTGTACGTGCTGCATAAGTACTCACTAATGCTACAATTTTAAAAAAATATTCTCTATTGTAAATAATAATTAAAGAAAAAATCTGATATAATTTGGAATCACTTTGACTAAATAAAACTAAGTCATTGTTTGGCAAAATCCTTTTAAAAAATAATCTCAGAACCTTAAATAAAATTTAAATCCTTTCATAGGATTTGAGCTGTGGAGGGCATCCTGTGCTTCCCTGTCCTTCCTTTTGCTCTATGCATAGAAGTTCAAGTGTCGTTTAATGTATGTTTCTCTTGGTTTTTCTGCAGCTTCTCCCTACCCCTCAAAAGAGTCAGGTAATTTTTTCTAAGTTTCAGTTATTCTGGTCAAGTCTGATGATCCAGGCAATACCAGATTTTCACTTTAATTTACTTTGCAGACATGGACAGCCTTTATGAACAAAATAACAATTTATTTTTGATGTCCAAGTTATCTTCTGTTTTGTTCTTCAATGTAGCTCTCAGGTATTTTGTGTAAATTTATCAATTATGTTGAACTTTTATTTGTAAGAAATAAACATTATTTTGTCCTTTAGGACAAAAAGAATAGAAACAGAAATAAAATGTGGTAAGAAATGAACTTAACTAAATTATTATTGTTTTCCATTGTGTTCAGTAAGCCAAGTAAGCTGATCATGTGATTTCCAACTAAATTTATATGTTTATTTTTTAATATATCTTTATTGATTTCAGAGAGAGGAAAGGAGAGGGAGAGAGAGAGATACAAACATCAATGATGAGAGAGTCACTGATAGAGCCCGCAATCCGGGCATGTGCCCTGCCCGGGAATCGAACCCCTATAGCCTGGATCCCAGATCAACGCTCAACAGCTGAGCCACGCCCGGCCAGGCCTAAGTTTATATGAATATAAGACACTTAGTTGAACTTTTGGCACAATATGAACAATTAAAAAGCTTGCCTTATAATCTAAATATTTATTTTGAAATTTCAAGTGTCATCCTACTAGAATTTAATTACTTGCACTTTTCCCTGAATTACTTTTTACCTAAGGACATAATAAAATAAAAAAGGAAAGTGACTTACTGTTTAAGTTATTCTTGAAACAGCTTTTTAGCCTTCATCCAATCTAAAAATTTAAATGAGAAAGTGATAAAAACAAGAACAAAATTAAACACAAATACTTATGACATAAATATGGTAGTCAACTTTTATAACTACTCCATTTATTATTAGCTATTTAAATGAAGTAGCTTTTATGTATGATAACAACAAATCTGATTGACATTTTCACTAATATATTTCAACATTGTGAAAATCCAAGTTCATTTTTTGGTTTATGACAGGAAAGTTCAATTTGTATAATCAACCAAACAAATACCCAGACCCGCCTTTATGAATTTATGTAGTAAATTTGTGAAATACTCTATGTGTTACTCTATGAATTACTCTGTGTATTGATAAAGCATGGGCATTCTTTACCACCTAAGGATCACTGTCAGACTGATACAGACTAGATCAACATTTTGCAATTCAATGATTAAAATTTAGTAGTAGACATTATTCAAATAGCTTCCACAAAATACATACCTTATGAAAAATAGGACAATGCTATTGTTGCAAAACAAAAATAGCAAATGGAGGCCAAATATCTTAAGTAGAAGGATGTATATAATGTTCAATAGTCGGAAGACTCAATGTTGGGAATTATGTCCATTCTCCCTAATTAATCTATAGATGTGAAAAATCCTAAACCAAATTTCAGCAGATTTCTTTGTGACAAGCTGAATCTAAAGTTTACATGGAAATACAAAGGGAAATAATAATCAAAGCAGTCTTGAAGAAAAAGAATAAAACTGTAGGACCTACCCATCAGATAATAAACCTGTTATAAAACTATAGTAATTGAGATAATATGTTGCAGAATAAACAGAAAAATAGGGAAAAAAGAGTCTTAAATAGAACTATGGTTACCTGATTTATTACAAAATGACACTTCAAAAACAATGGGGAACAGATCATTTGGATGATGCAGTCATTTTGATGTTTATATGGAAAAAAATAATTTTGACCCTAATTTCATTCATAGGAAAAAATTAACTTCAAAAGATTATAGCTCTAAATGTGAAAATTCAAGTAATTAATTTTTCACAAGCACCACACAAGAATATTTTTATGACATTGGGGTATGCAAAGATTCAAAGGGAAAACAAAGAGTCCTAACCATAGCAAGTGAGAAATATTACAAATTAGACTAAATTAAAGTTTAAGAAGTTTTGTTCAAAGATACAATAAGAGAGTTAAAATCCAAGCTAAGTAGAAGATATTTGCATCACATATTTCTGAAAAAATATTTATACCCAGAATATATTCAGAACTGCTAAAGATGGATCAGAAAAAAAGGCAAATATCCTAAATAGAGAAATATACAAAAGGTTTTCAAGTACTTCACAAGAATGTATCCTAACGGCCAATAAACATGTGGAAATGGGCTCAATTCAATTAATCATTGGGGAATTACTAAAGGTACAATATGGTATCACCACACACTGACCAGAGTGGCTAATATTAAAAGACAATATCAAATGTTGATAAGGATATGGAGCAACTGGAACTCTCATTTTTTGCTGGTTTTGGTAAAACCACATTCGAAAACTGTTTTGCAATATCTGCTAAAGCTAAATATATGTGTACATCTTAATGTAGAGCAATCTAACTCTTAAGAATATATTAAACATAAATGTACACATAGACACCAAATGACATGCACAAGAATGTTCATAATAGCACTGCTCTAAATATCCCCAAACTGGAAAACCCTAATGGCCACCATAAACAAATCATGGTATAGCCATAGAACAGAATGGTATAAAGCAATGAGAGTTAAAGAAATCAGAACAATATGCAACAGGTAAATTTTATGAACACAATGTTGCATGAAAGAAGGTAAACACAAAAGAGTAATACTTTATAACTCCATTTGTATAAGTGTTCAAAAAAAACCCAAAAAATTCTATGGTAATAGAAGCTAGGACAGTGCTTACCTTTAGCGGGGAGTGTAGTGACCAGACAATGAAAGAAAGAGTCCTGTAGGGTTTTGGTAACATTTTAGTTTTAGTGTCTGCTTATGGGAGTGCATTCAATTCATAAAGATTCTTTGAACTGTACACTTATAATTTGTAACCTTTTCTGATGTATATTATATTTAAAGATAAAAGTAATTTTTATAGGCCCTGGCCAGGTAGCTCAGTTGGTTAAATCATTGTTCAGATAAGCCAAGGTTGCAGTTTTGATCTCCAGTCAGGTTACATATAAGAAGCAACCAATGAATGCATAAGTAAGTAGGGCAACAAATGGATATCTCTCTCTCTCTCCTCTCCCCCCCATTTAAAATCAATAAATTAAAGTAATTTTTGTAAAATTTTAAACTTTTGCAAACATCCATTATTACTCATTTCTTGAATATAATCAAAAAACCTTCAAGAGAAAGTTTCTTCACATGCTCAAAAGGTATTTTATGAAGAATGCTAGTATATTTTAGTTTATTCTGAAAGATTATTTCCCTTAATATTAACTCAGCAAATGCTTAGTTAGAGCTTCCAATAACTAAGAATTGGAGGTACAATCGGGAGCATTTCTGTGACTTAAAAGGATACTGATACACAACAGAGTTATAATTTGGAATGAAATGGCAAATACTATTTGCAATAGTAAATACGGACGCCTGGTGGCGCTGCAGGCTAGGAATTTGAATGAAGGGCTCTGTGGATCCTCCAGACGCCAAAAAGCTGGGAATCAGAACTCCGCTTCCTAAAACAAGGAAGCATTTTAGGTAAGATCTAGAGGCAGAGGTCTTCAGAGAGGGCATTGGTCTAGTGCGAGTCAGTCAGAAAGATCTGATTTGAGGTTACTTAACGAGGTCATCTGGGTTGATTGTACACTGAGGTGAAGAAACTGCACCTTCTTGAACTGGGTCTGAACAATGGAGACTGCGCCAGCGAAAACGCCACAGAAAAGGCAAGTTGTCTTTCTTGTTATATTGTCGTTTTTGTGGGAGGCTGGCTCTGAAGCAATTAGGTATTCCATGCCAGAGGAAACAGAAAGTGGCTCCTTTGTAGCCAACCTGGCAAAAGACCTGGGGCTCAGGGTGGGGGAACTGGCCACTCGGGGAGCACGAATCCATTACAAAGGAAACAAACAGCTCTTGCAGTTCGACCTAAAGACCGGGAATTTGCTTCTACATGAAAAACTAGACCGGGAGGTGCTGTGCGGGGCCACAGAACCCTGTGTGCTGCAATTCCAACTATTACTGGAAAAGCCAGTGCAGTTTTTTCAAGCTGATCTGCAGCTCACGGATATAAATGATCATTCCCCAGAGTTCCTAGAAAGGGAAATGCTCCTAAAAATCCCAGAGAGCGTCCAGCCAGGGACTGTATTTCCTTTGAAAATAGCTCAGGACTTGGACATAGGTAACAACACTGTTCAGAACTACACAATCAGCCCCAGCTCCCATTTTCATGTTGTTGCTCATAGTCGTGGGGATGGCAGAAAATACCCAGAGCTGGTGCTAGACAAAGTGCTGGACCGGGAGGAGCAGCCTGAGCTCAGTTTAACCCTCACAGCCCTAGATGGTGGGACTCCGCCCAGGTCAGGGACCGCTGCCCTCCGCATTGAAGTCGTGGACATCAATGATAATGCCCCTGAGTTCTTACAGTCTCTCTATGAGGCACAGGTGCCCGAGAACAGCACCCTAAACTCCTTAGTTGTTACTGTCTCTGCACGAGATTTAGATGCCGGAACATATGGGAATGTAGTTTACACTCTATTCCAAGGCGATGAAGTTACTCAACCATTTGAAATAGACGAGATAACAGGGGAAATTCGTCTGAAAAGGTCATTGGATTTCGAGGCAATTCAATCTTATAATGTAGAAATTGCAGCCACAGATGGTGGTGGCCTGTCAGGAAAATGCTCTGTAGCTATACAAGTGGTGGATGTGAATGACAACGCCCCTGAACTGACCATGTCGAAAGTCGCCAGCTCTACCCCAGAAAACTCCCCAGAGACTGTGGTTGCTGTTTTCAGTGTTTCTGATCCAGACTCTGGGGACAACGGAAGGATGGTTTGTTCCATCCAGGACGATATCCCTTTTCTCTTGAAACCCACATTCAAGAATTTCTACACCCTGGTAACAGAGAGCCCACTGGACAGAGAGATGAGATCCGAGTACAACGTCACCATCACCGTCACCGACATGGGGACCCCCAGGCTGACAACCCAGCACCACATAACCGTGCTGGTCTCCGACGTCAACGACAACGCCCCCGCCTTCACCCAAACCTCCTACACCCTCTTCGTCCCCGAGAACAACAGCCCCGCCCTGCACATCGGCAGCGTCAGCGCCACCGACGCCGACGCGGGCGCCAACGCCCAGCTCACCTACTCGCTGCTGCCGCCCCCGGACCCCGGCCTGCCGCTGGCCTCGCTGGTGTCGGTCAACGCCGACAACGGCCACCTGTTCGCCCTGCGGGCGCTGGACTACGAGGCCCTGCAGGCCTTCGAGTTCCGCGTGCGCGCCACCGACCGCGGGGCGCCGGCGCTGAGCGGCCAGGCGCTGGTGCGCGTGCGCGTGCTGGACGCCAACGACAACGCGCCCTTCGTGCTGTACCCGCCGCAGAACGGCTCTGCGCCCTGCACCGAGCTGGTGCCCAGGGCGGCCGAGCCCGGCTACCTGGTGGGCAAGGTGGTGGCGGTGGACGGCGACTCGGGCCAGAACGCCTGGCTGTCCTACCAGCTGCTCAGGGCCACGGAGCCCGGGCTGTTCGGCGTGTGGGCGCACAACGGCGAGGTGCGCACGGCGCGGCCGCTGAGCGAGCGCGACGCGCCCCGCCACCGGCTGCTGGTGCTGGTCAAGGACAACGGCGAGCCGCCGCTGTCGGCCAGCGTCACGCTGCACGTGCTGCTGGTGGACGGCTTCTCGCAGCCCTACCTGCCCGCGCGCGACGCGGCGGCCGACGCGGCCCCGGCCGACCCGCTCACCGTCTACCTGGTGGTCGCGCTGGCGGCGGTGTCGTCGCTCTTCCTGTTCTCGCTGCTGGCGCTCGTGGCGGTGCGGCTGTGCCGGCGGAGCGGGGCCGCCTGGGCGGGGGGCTGCGCGGCGCCCGGGGGCCGCTTTCCGGGCCCCCTGGTGGACGTCAGCGGCGCGGGGACCCTGTCCCAGAGCTACCGGTACGAGGTGTGTCTGACGGGAGGTACTGGGACAGATGAGTTTAAATTTCTGAAGCCGATCATTCCCAACCTCCCGCCCCAAGACACTAGCAAAGAAACCGAGGAAAATGCCACCTTCCGGAATAACTTCGGATTCAATTAGGAATCTCATCATGATGCAGTGTCTTTTGTAACATCTCTAATTTCCCCAGATACAGAGTTTGAGAGCGTCATGGACAAAAATCCCCACTTTAAGTATCCCCTGGATTTCCCTTTTGCAATGTATTTGTCCACTGCACTTTATCTTGTCCAATTTTGGAAAACTCGAATCTAGCTCTTGCATTATTTGCATAATAGCACTTCAAATCCCTGCATGCTGGTGATTTTCCTGTAATGTTTTCTCCTCTTGTTGGCATTTGTTGCGATGAACCGTCTTAATAAAATCAAATATTAATTACTTTTCTCTGTGTTTGGTCCATCCTTTCATCACACTCTAAGTATATTTGATGTTTAATAGCAAAAGTTAAAAAGCGTCTTTACATGTTTTTAAAATTTGTTTGCAAAGGAAAACATATCTTTGATTAATATGTGAGAAAACATGATGAAAGTGACAATCTTCTATCTACTCTTCTTTCCTAGCTCTCACCCCACTGGCAAACATTTTTTAAACAAACTTTTTTATGGATTATAACATATACAAAAGTGAACAAATCCTTAATTTCAGCTCAGTGTATTTACAGAAAGTGAACATACTTAGTATCAACATCTTGATGAAGAAATGGAACATTCCTAGCATCCGAGATGCCACACAAACTATCCCTTAAAAATTACTACAAGGTCAAGTATAACAAATATCCAGACTTCCAATATTATAGTTTAGTTTTGCCTATTTTAAATTTTTAAAAATGAAATAGTATTTACTCTTTTGTGTCTTACTTCTTTCACTCAACATTATGACATTTATCCATAATATTGCTTTTAATTTTAGGTTTTAATTCTCATTTCTGTATAGTATCCTAGTATATGAATATTTCATAATTTATTAGCCATTCTACTGTACATGGATATTTGGGTTGGTGCAAAGTTGGCTGTTTGAATAATACTGCTCTGAACATTCTTGTACATATCTTTTTGGCAAATATGTACATGTAGTCTGTTGGGTATATACTTAAGGGTAAAATTGCCACTCATTTAGTAGTAAGTAGATGGTTACTTTTAGTGGATATTTTCAAATAGTTTTCCAGTGTAGTTGTACCAATTTACACTGTTATCAGCAGTGTTTAGATGTACCAGGTCCTCTACATTTTTGTCAACACCTGGTATTGTGTATCTGCTTTTCTTCTTATTCCATTTTAAACCTTTTTCTTTTCTAGTTCTTTTTATATTTGCTTCCTTATCACTAAAGAATGTTTGTAACCTTTTGATAAACTTTAAACAATTACTTTCCTGCTATTATTGTTTAGTACCTAGCACACTTCTCTCATCCATCCTTCACATAACTGTCTCACTGTTTTCCCTTCTCTGCACAAACTGAAATCTCCATTTCTTGTTCCACTAGTTCCCCCTGATTTTACATATGAGAGAAAATAATAGAATTCTTATTGTTTCTGTTATGTTTCTCACACTTTCAAACCTCTTGCAAATGAACCTTTGTTTTTATACAGTCAAGGTTACTGCTCTATGTCTTTTCTGCTTTTGTAGGCTAGGGCAGTCTGCACCCAAGTTTCTGTCTGAGTGGAAGTTGTGACAGGGTGCTCTGTATGAATCAGTTCAGGGCGAGGTTTATAAAATACCAGATTTTACTTTAGGGTGCATTGTAATGAACGGGCAGGGAACTCTTCAGAATGTGGCTCCTCAAATGCCAGGATACAAAAGGTTTTGTGCTGGGATTCCAAAACCTCCACTAAATATCTTAGTGCTCTCCAGAAAAACTCCTTTCATTTCTTTAGAAATGAACTTTAAAGTTTTTAAAGGTAGGTCTTGAGGGGAAATAATTATTAATAAAATTATTATATGTTATATACAATGTATTATTATGGTTATTACCCACTGTGTATATACTTGGCTGTTTTCTAGTTGTTGTTGTTTTTTACATACATCTCATCTAATTCTCTGNCCACTGTGTATATACTTGGCTGTTTTCTAGTTGTTGTTGTTTTTTACATATATCTCATCTAATTCTCAGAATAATGGTACAACTGACATCCCCATTTTAGAGATGGACAAACTAGGACATACAGAGTTAAAGTATCTTGCCAAGTTACTTAGTAAGTGATGGAATCAGAATTTGAAATCAGGCAGCCTGACCCCAGATACATTGCTTTTTTGTTTTTGAAGTGTTTGTCTAGTTTTAAATCTACTAAACATTCAAAAAGTGTATACAATGTATGTGTGAAGCTTAAAAATAATAAAATGTTCAGCCATATAACTATCATCCAGCTTAAGAATTAGAACAATGCAAAGACCTTGGAAATCCCTCTGTGCTTCCATCATTACAAATATTTTATCCTCATGAAAATCAAATATCCTGAATTTTTAATTAATTATTTGTTCTTTTTTATAGTTGCAGCAATATGCATATATTCTTTAATGATATATTGTTTAGCTTTGTCTGTTTTAAAATTTAAGTGGATTAATGTAGTATGGATCATCTGTGGGCTTTTTCCATCATTAGATATTGAATTCATCCATGTTAATGTAGTTCTTTCATTAGAGTGATCTATAGTATCCCATTGAATACACCTTTACCTTTACATTCATTTTACTGTTGATGGATTTTGGGGTTGCTCTAAGAGTTTTGTTGCTATGAACAATGCTACTATAAGCATTATGGAATAGATCTCCTCATGCACTTGGGCAAGAGTTCTTCTGGGTAGATGCACACCTAGGAAGGTACTATCTGGGTCATATTAAGAACTGGAAAGATATCAAAGTGAAAGTTAATAGATGGCAACATCAAGATGACAGAGATGTAAGAATTATCTGACAAAGATTTTAAAATGAGCTTCGAAAAATGCTTCACAAGCAATTACAAATATGCTTGAAACATGAAAAACAGTCTCAGCAAAGAAATGTAAAGCTGCAGCAAAGAAATAAAAGATGTAAAGAAATGCCAATGGATATTAGAAATTAAAAACACAATCACTGAAATGAAAAAGTCAGTGGACGAGTCCAACAGTAAAATAGAGATGACAAACAAAAATCAGTGAACTAAAAGACAGAACAATAAAAATTACCCACTCTGAACAACAGAGAGAAAATAGACTGTAAAATATAACAGAGCCTTGGGGACCTATGGGACAATAACAAAAGATCTAACATTTTGTCATTTTGTCATTGGAATCCCAGAAGGAAAGGGGAAAGCTTCCCAAATTTGGCAAAAGACACAGACTCAGAGATTCAAAAAGCCTAAGAAATTCAAAACAAGATAAGCCATAAAAATCCACACCAAATGATACCATAGTTAAATTTCTGAAAACCAAAGAGAAGGAAAAATCTTGAAAGCAGTGAAAGAGGAAAATGACGCATTATCCATTAGCCAATAACAATTTGAATGACAGTAGATTTCTCATTAGAAGCCATGGTGGTCAGAGGAAAGTGACATAATATTTTTTCAAGTGCTGAAAGGAAACAACTGTTAACCCAGAATCCTATATTCAGTGAAAATATCCTTCCAGAAGAGAATTTGTTGCCTGTAGACATACCCTAAAAGAATGGATAAAGGAAGTTCTCCAAACAGAAAGGAATTCATTTTAAAAACTGGAACATCAGGAAAAAAGAAAAAACACAGTAAACAAAAATATTGGCAAATTCAATAGACTTTCCTTTTTCTCTTGAGTTTTGGAAATTATGTTTGATGATTGAATCCAAAATTATTGAGGAGAGGAAACAAGATGGTGACGTAGGTAACAGCTGCATCCACCCCCTCCTGCAACCACAGCAAAATTACAACTAAAATACAGAACCACCATCACTCAGAACCTCCTGAAATCTGGCTGAACAGAAGCCCTACAACCAGGGAGCTGAAGGAGCACCGAGACCGGAGGAGGGGCGGAGACATGGGCGGATCGGGGCTGAATCTCGGAGACTCGCTGCAGGCCCACAACTGGTGCTGCAGTTTAAACCCACAGGGACATCTCGGCAGGGGAGGTTTCCCAGAGGAGCGAGGGGTCTCAGCCCTGCAACAGGCCCGCCAGCCCAGGGTTCCAGGGCAGGGAAGAGTTGTCCCCACAACTTCAGGCTGTGAAAAACAACGGGGACTGTGGCTGAGGGTAGCAGAGGATGCGGGAGCCCCAGGCTTTCCTCTTAAAGGGCCCACACCTGGACTCACTCAGATGCACTCCCTCTGAGCCCCAGCACCCAGCAGCAGATTGAAAGGACCTGGGACACTCGGGGAGGAACTAACCTGCCTGGAATCCGGGCGAGAGGTGGAGGGGCAGCTTTCTCCCAGGCAGAGGCCATTGCTCCTGCAGCGAGTCATCCTCACACAGCCGGCAGCAGGCGCCATATTTGAATCGCCAGCACCTGACTCACACCTTTGGCCCCACCCCGTGATTCCCAGAGGTCCCGCCCCTCCCTATCTGCAAGCTCATCCAGGCCATTTCCAGTGGCTTTTCTGTGCAAGTGGCCTCTCGAGCCCTATCCTTAGGACTTTCCTAAAACCTCTCAAACAAGCAGCAGTGGGTCCCATATAGCTTGACAAGTGGCCCAGGCCTGGCACCAGTGGCAGCCTGCATTAGTTCATAGCTTGGCCTCTCCTGGACACCTCCAAGCCCAGCACAAGTAGCAGCCAACTACGGTTTGCTGTGTAGCTCATGCTGGGTGGGCTGGGAAAGGCACTGGCAGAAGCTGACTCTGCACCTCCCCAGAGGCCCCAGAGACAGTGCACCTGGTGCTCAGACTTGACCATGGTGGATTACAATCCTACCAAATCCTCAAATGACACACTCAAGGGGCACACTTGGTGAACACCAAAGCTCCACTGAAGTAAATCCTGCTCCATAGGGGTGTCTCCAGCACAGCAGCTCTTTGGCTGTAGTTGCAGCTGGTCCTCACAGCTGATTGGCCTGGGGGTCAATTCCTCCCAGTGACGCCAACAGCAACCAAGGCTCAACTACAACAGGACAGTGCACACAGCCCACACAGGGGAGCACCTAGAAGGCCCAGCTCAGGTGACTGGGGAGGCTGAGCCACTG